GTATGTTGCCACGAGCAGCAACGTTTTAGAGTAGCGAATAAGAAATGTCCGCTGTTTGGCAGTATTTCAGACTGTAACCAACCAGCCAGTAAAACAGTGACATGTTTTATATGCCTTGCCACAAGTTATTTCAAGAAGCGGCATAGTGTTAGCAACTTTAACTAACTAAACTGCTGAAGCATTTGAAGACATGTCAACCTGCTGAACGTGATGCAGACTTAACTAATTTGGGAGGATTCATACAAATAAAGAAACTAGTCTTTAAAAGTCAGCCATTGATAAAGATAAAATTATAGATTTATTTTTTATTTTTTTGGTTTTGCATGAGCAATTACTGTTGGACTTTTGCATTTAAAACCAAAATGCCTTTTATTGAACAAAATACCCTTTTAGTATTAGATTTGTGGTTGCATTTAAACTTTTTATTTTATTTATTTATTTATTTATTTTATTTATTTATTTTTTTCGAGGAACAGTGAATGTTATTCAGCCGGTTTGAATGTTATCACTCGATTGAATGGGTGTTATCAGTGGTTATCAGCTGATAGATATGGGCCAGTAGGGGCCTTCTGTGCCTACTGGTTGGCTCAGAAGGCCGTTATTATCCATCCACATGGTTAATCAGCTTTAAACCACATACGGCTGTGGCTGGAAGTTAACAATAATTATTTATATTATTTATTAAATTTCCTATTAATTGTATTTTATTAACGTCTACCCCTACCCCAACCCTAAACCCAACAGTCACAGTAATGTAAAAATAGATCTGGATCTGGAGTCTTCTTTATCAGTAAAGCTCATTAACCATGTGGATGGATGACGGCACAGAAGACCCGTACTGGCCCATGTCCATCATTTGATAACCACTGATAACGCTCAATTGAGTGATAACGTTCAAAGCGAGTGTGTTATATTGTTTTTTAAATGTATATCAGATAATAAAACTGCTCTATTTCACTGTATGTATTATTTCTTGTTCTATGAATATATAAGTCTGAAGCGCACCATTAAAAATAAAATTAATTCTATCAATTCATGCCAGTGCTAGTATAGATACACACACTGGTATCGCATATATACTCTGTATTGACCAATACCCTGAATGCAGGAATCGGAAAGGGAAAAAGTGTATCAGAAGAGGTAAAATAGTCATGTGAATATACAGTACAATAACTTTAAGAACTTCTTCGAATGAAAGCAAGCCACAAAAGTTATTGATCTGACATCAAATTAATGACAGTGGATGAAATTTGATCCACCCAGTCGGTGAGGTAATAAAAAAAGCAGAACAGATGCTATTATTCTCTTCTTAACAACAAAAACACCAACTCTACGAGTGAAATGAGGAAAAGGCAGCGGAATACTTGAGCTGTTTCTGGCTGTGTAGCAGCTGCTGCTCTGCATGTCCTCGCAAATAAATGAAGTGAGTGGTGTGGAGTCGAAACATAGTTCCAAGATTCAGCTTGAAGCTCTTTTGTTTTTTTGCTTTGTTTTTTTTTTCTCTAAGTCAGAGCAGCAGTATTTTCTCAAACCCCCAAGAACACCCTGCTACCGCTCCACGATATGAAAGGTTAACAGATAAACTGTAACAGGTTAGCTGCCGAAAATCCCATCCCAGCAAGAATTTGCTGCATATTTAGGGTGTTAGCAGACTGTTAGTATTCACAATGTGCAATACCAACAGAAAGAAAAAATACATTTGAATTGTTCCAGTTATCACCTGTCAAAGTCAGTGGCAGTAATACTGATTGATTGGTTTATTGGTTGATTTAATTTAATTTAAATGTATGCATTTATTCATACATTTATGTATTCAGTTATTCACGTTTATTCATACATATGCCTTTGCTTTGCACTTATTTATGTGTTTACTTAGCAGGAATGCATTGAATTGATCAAAAGTGACTGTTGATTTTTTTTATGCTATTACAAAAGATTTATTCCTTTTTTTTTTTTTTTTTACATTATATTAGTCAGAGAATCCAGGAAAAGATTTATTGCAAACTTCAACGTTCTTGCTGCCTTTTTTAGTTTAGAAACTTTTCTAGTGATCTCAACCCAGCAGGCAAAGGACGTCAACACGATGTCAGATTGACGGTATACCCCAACGCCATGGGATGTTGCATTTTGTTTGGAAATGAAAATTGGGTTGACGTCAGAACCCAATGTCAGGCCGACGTCAATGTCCAACGTCGGACAGACGTTGAGTTTTGGTTACTTTCCAATACAACCTAAAATCAACCAAATATCAACGTCTAATGATGTTACAGCTTGACGTTACCGATATGACATCTATCAGATGTTGGATTTTGGCTGCCATACCTAACGAATAAATATCAGTATTTGACGTCAATATGAAATTGGTTAATGATGTTGGATTATGGTCACTTTCCAACACAACCTAAAATCAACAAAATATCATAATGTCATTTCATGTCATTATTGGGCATCAAAATAACATTGTCCTTAGATGATTTTGACCTAATTCTAACCTATTATTAATGTCTTATAACATTGTGTGTCTGCTGGGAAATTACATCAATCAAACTGACTAAAATATTAAATTAAATCTTAGTTTAATTAAAATTAAAATTTGAATTTGATTGAACTTATATTATATTATATTATATTATATTATATTATATTATATTATATTATATTATATTATATTATATTATATTATATTATATTATATTATATTAAATGATATATTTTTACTGTGTGGTTTAATTAAAATATCTAAGTAGCACAACTGTTAATGATAATAATATTACCATTCATAATAAATAAATCAGTGGTTTAGAAGGATTTATGAAGGATCATGTGACACTGGGTAAGTAATGATGCTGATAAAGGATAATTCAGCTTTAAATAACAGGAATAAATGACCATAAATCTGTTATGTTATTGTAATTACATTTAAAGGGATAGTTCACCCCCAAGAAAATGAAAATACCTCATCATTTACACTCCCTCATGTGGTTTTAAACTTTTAGGAGATTCTTTATTTTGTTGAACAATCATTTTTGATTTGCGTTAAATACTATAGAAGTCTATGGGTCCCGGCAACCTACATTTTCTAAAATATCTTCTTTTGTGTTCACCCAAGAGTTTTGAACAAGTGAAGGGTGATTAAATGACTGCACAATTTTCATTTTTGGGTGAACTCTTCCTTAAACAGCAATGCATTTTGACAAGTACACTTTGTGTGAACTCCTGACACCTCCACTGTACTTCACTGAAACTTTTACTTTCAAAGTTTATAATCAACACCTCATGCATTTTAGAATGCCCTCATGGCATCACCAAAAACATGGTGCGATCCTCACATTTCATTTCCAACTTGTGCTTAAATAAGCTGCCAACTTCCAGATTTGCTCAACGCGCACCTGCGATTTCTTCTTCATTCATATTGTAATCATCACAGCCTCATTGTGTTCATTTGAGAGATCAGAGCAGACCCGAGGCTCTCGCTACCTGATGTAATCACAATCATCATCATCATGTAACAATATCAACAATAACCTGAACAGTTCATTTACATAAGCAGCTTGTTCGTTTTGTTTCTGGGACTTTATCAGGCTTCAAAAATATCACTCAAGCATTCGTCATTAGCCTAAGGCTCCAGTTTATACTAAGATATTAACTTTAATTAGTAGCAATTAGACGGCGTTGCAGAATAAAAGGCATTGATCATAACTGTTTATCCCGCTCGGGTCTCGAGGGATGTAGTTAGCCAAATGAAAGCTGCAAGACTAGCAGACTCAGCCTGCTGTCATCATAACAACCCTGCTAGGCTTTGGCTTTTTTTCTGATGCTCTTGCAAAATGACTTGCGCTTTTCAGTTTTTTTTTTTTTTTGTTCGTTGTTGCAAGCACTGTACAGTATAGAGACACAATGTTGTGCTCAAGTGCACTAACACCAGCAGGCCATTTGTTTCAGACAGTGTTTCGATTTTTCACTCTTGTGTGTGTTTTGTCTGGTGATTATCTGTGTTCTAGCATGTCAGATGAATTTCTTGTCCATTGCATCATGTTATGAAGCATGTGCATGCTCAGCCTCTGCGTGAAGTGGTGTGAGAACTTCAGTCACTCTTTTTTTTTTTTTTTTTTTGCTTTGGGAAAGTGTTTGCATGATGTGCTTATCTGTGTGGTCTGGAAGTTTCCAGTGTAGACCTAGAAATAAAGTGGTCCTGTGCTCTACAATATTGGAAAGGAATTGTATGTTATTTTATTGCTGCATTTCTGTTATTTTATGTCAGATTATTGTGTTGTTATTAATGGCATTGGTTTTCAATAATAAAAAAACAGTTTTTAATAATAATTTTTAAATTCATTATAATAACCTACAAAAATATGTTTTAAATCAGTGTTTGTGAATATATATAGATATATATAAACGCTGTTAAAACGTACTTTTGTAATTACAGATAATTTTTTTAAATTTTTAATTTCTTTTATTTTTAATAAATTTTTTTTTAACAATTACAGATAGTTTAACCTTCCCAAATGTTGTTTGAAAAAGAACACAGCGGTAATAAAACACTCTTACTAAAATATGTATTTTTGCTTTTTAATTATATTTAGTTTTACTAACGTGAGATTTTTTTTGCTAACGTGAGAAAACAATTTTTTGCTGTGTGCCTTTTTAATAAGGCAACAAGTGTTTTTATTTATTTTATTTTTTTATTTGTATTTCTGATTTTGTATTTTAAGAGCTTTGAATGTGTACACTTATTTTAAATAACCTCAATTAACCTCCAGCCTGAGTAATGCTATAATAAATATGTATTCAGCTTCTTAATATGTTTTATCGTTTACATTTTGAGTCTTACTTTGTAATATGCCTCACCTTGTAACATTGCATCTTTAGCCAATATACTTAACAATATTTGTGCATATAATTATTTTGCAGTTCTTTTATTCTCAATAACAGAAGACTGTAATTCTAAAAGGCTGCTTTTGCCTCTTTGTGTTGTGTTTTGTCTGTGTTTTCTACAGGCCTCTTGGACTCGGCCCGAACAGCACAAGGTAGAGATACTGTATCCATGACTCCATAAACTAAATTATGAAGATAGCCTTCAACTCCATAAAACCTCTTTCCCATCAAATCAAATCTCTGAAATCTCATCTGATCCGTCAGCATGCCTGCTCTTTCACCTGAGTGCGAAACATAGTTGTAGTTTTCACTTTCTACTTCCAGTGCATGCCTCTTTTTCATTCTCTCTAATCACAATAATAGTATAGAGAACTGTCATTGTCAATTTACCCTCATGCCATTCCAAACCAGTAAAAATGTTTGTTCAGAATACAATGAAAGCATGTTTCTATGTCCAAATCCAAAAGAATTTTGTCACTCCATTGAAAGTCTGTACACCCAAAAACTCCAAAAATAAATAAATAAATAAAATTTCAGATTATTCATAGACAGAATATAAGACATGGATCAATAATTTAGTGGTTTAATCCATATTCTGAAGAGTTTGCTTGTTAAACAAATCTTTATAGTATTTTCATATTGATAAATGCAATAAAAACAGAAGCTCAATCATATTTTCTTGATGTGCGCGAGCAAACCTCATTGGTTTTTGATGTTCAAATGTGCTACAGACAAATAAACCACATTGGTTCTTGCATCAGGTAAACAAGTTTGAGTTTTCATGACCTAATGTACTGTAAACGCTGCAAACATTAATGCATGTTATGTTAGCCCTAAATAGCCCCTAGTATGTATTATAAAAGGTCATATTTTGGTTTTGGGGGTCTCCAACAAGCACTCCCTGCTCATTGAGTGGCTTCGATACGTGTTGCCTCTCTCACTATAGTTTGCTGCATCCTAACCGTTAATGATCTGTTATTAAACCGACATGAATGAATGAATTAAGTTTGGTGTATAATGTAAACCGCTGTAGTGCGCGCACACACAGTCTGCTCCAGTCTTAAATCAACACATGGATATTTACATTAGATGTCGCCTACCCTGTTGTTGCCTATTGGTAGGAATGCGTCAATAGAGCCACCATTTTAGTACAGGGTAGCGCTCCTTTGAAATGAATGTGGACCAAGGTGTAGAACTGGTGAATCAGAGACACAGATATACATATGTACACAGATATACATATATCATATATATACATATGATCGGGAGTTTTCCCGGTGGTCAGTATGCAAACTTTTCTGCATCGATAGATTAGTAACCGCACTGGAACTACCAACAAAGACCTTGTGTTTGTGTGCATGGAAATGTATTATCCTCCCTCCCTGTTAACTTTGATCTAATCCATGTCCTGAAACACACCCGCTCTTCTGCTTTCACTTCATATTCTAACGGAGAGAGCAATTCATTTGTGAATGAATCTTCATAATTAGTGACTCATTCACTTAGCCGACAACAATGCAAGTTTCTAGTACCACAGCATCTTGTATTTAGTGCAAGTTGGTGCTACTTTGCCTTAAGATCAATGCAGTAAGTGACTGTATTATCACCAATAACGTTGCTTGTTTAGCACAAAAGTTTATAGCATACAAAATTGTAAAAAACTAAATCTTGTTACTACACCTTTACACAGCGCTAAATTCCAGCATCTTCAAAATGACTTTGGTCTTAAATAGTGTGGTTGCATGACTTGTGTCCTGGGAGCACAGTACTAATATGGTGGCTTTATTGGCGCATGCTCAGGGTCTGTATGTGATATCTAGTGTATATATATATATATATATATATATATATATATATATATATATATATATGGAATCACTATCGCGCAAAATGGATTACATATAAGCCCAAGTTGGTGCGGACCACAAATGATATTGGATTAAATTGAATGATATTCTGTAAAATGATATGGGAGAGAAATTGTTTTGGTCAACAGCTTTGGCCGAGCTGTAATCTAAAATGAAATGCTATTGGCTACTATTTAAAAATGATAAAATAAAAACTGCTCAATTGGTTCTGCCCTGTCTTCCCTTTTCTGTAGAAATTATACAAACACATCAACAGTATAATGTTGTATAATTAGGTTTGTTCATTGTAAATTCAGGACTATGAAAGACAATAGCAGAGCACTGTCACGTCCTGCCTTGTTCTTGTCAGAGACTGGGCAGCATATCAGCAATGGTAATGACACAGCACATAATTTAATATCAGTGTTAAGCCTGTTGATATAAAGGAGATTCAATGCGGCACAATTTAATAACGCTTTCCCTCAAATTCATGAAAATAGCTGGAAATGTAGAGCCTAAATGATTTCTTTTGTTTGGTCAAAGGGATAGTTCCTTCAAAAAAGAAAATCACCTCATCTTTTATTCTCTCTCATGTGGTTTTAAAACTTTATGACTTTCTATCTTCTGTTGAACACCAAAGGAAATATTTTTAAGAATGCTGGTTACTGGCACTCATAGACAACCATTGAACACTATAGAAACCCATAGAAAAAAAACAACTATGAAAATCTCATGACAAAAACTATTAAAGTCAATGGATGCCAACTACCTGCATTCTTCGTAATATAATAATATTTTGTGTTAACAGAAGAAAGAAACACTGAAGGATAAATAAATGATGGCAGAATTAGAATTTTTTATGAACTATCAATTTAATGAAGATTACATGCTGGAAAAGAAACTGGTTAGGACAACTCACAGGTATCTCACACTAAACATGTCATATTCAGTTCTAAACAGCTGTCCAGAAGCTGAGCAGCTACACTCATATAAAACAATATGTTTGAATTTTAAAGACATGGTGCATTGCGATGTGGAGCAGCAAATCTTGACTGCTGTGCAGCCCCCTTTAGTGTTTGCTCGGAACACAAAGATCAGGTACATCAGATCTTGAAGGCAACGAAGTATGAAATGACATCTTGACAGCTGACGGTTCACCAGAAATACCCAGGCTGGCTTACTGAAAACAAGTAGTAACTGTGCATACAGTAGAGCCCATACAAATGCATTTATTTGTTGATCCTTTTGCCGCACAATTAGGGGTGTAACGATACACTCAGCTCACGATACAATGTGTATCACTATATAATGTTGACGATTCGATATGTATCACGATATTTGGAATAAAAAAATTGAAAATTAAACTGAAATGCAAATTTTATTTAAAAAAAAATTTTATTACCAAGTAAACTATTTTTTATGTATTTCTTTTGTTTCAACTTGTTAAACTGAACCTTCTTTAAGAAAATAAATTAAACAGGACTGTCTCTGGAAAATAAAACAATATAAAAACTTCTTATAAAATATTATTGAAATGATTCAATTCAATTGAATTTAACAGTAAGAGCTTAAGGCTTTGCTTGGTCACTTGCGTTTTTTGTGTGTGCAATCTACATTTCCAGGTAATCAGCAGTTTTATAAAATAATCCTGAACTTATGTGTATCTGTCTGAGAGGTTTTTATGGATGGCTGTCTTCATGTTGGGCATGATGAGTAACAGGGTGGCCGTCTTTTCATTACACAGGACAGTCGTGGCTCTTTTCAGCAGTTTAGGCAGGTTTACTATTTCTTCGGCGTTGCTGATGTCGGCGCTATCAAGTATATCATGTTGACGTGCATTTTTGTGTACCTCTGTACTCAAAAGAGTTCATGCTCGTCATAATCATAACTCTAAAATGCGATATGATTATTTAAATAATGTGCACGCTTTCGGTTTCATTTCCACTGCTGTTCATACTTCCCACGCGGCTCCTGAACGATCACTCTGTTCCACAAACTGAATGTTGTTTACTACTTTATTACCTGTTAGTCACAACCTGCAGGTTCTGTTCACTGAAGCAGACGCGAGCGCGCGTCTATCATAGTCCGCCCTCTGTAGTACCAGCTCACGGTCAGCTCACGTCATGTGTGCTTTTGCGGCCGCCAATACATCATTATATATATAAATATATATATATATATATATATATATATATATATATATATATATATATATATATATATATATATATATATATATATATATATATATATATATATATACATATATATATATATTTAGGGTGAATTGTACCTTATAAATACAGTATGTGACTCTTTCAACACCATTAGGAGGTATCCATGTCGTTGTGCAAAGTATGTGAATCACTGTAAAGACTTTAAAACTTCGGCTATGTTTCACCCAGTATGCGTGTCAAAAAGCGGACGAGTCTAAAGCAATGACTGTACAACCGAAATGTTTCCAGACGTCTGATTTTGAAAGGATGGGCCATCCTCTATTTCAACTCCACTCATCTTGGTGTGCTAGCATTACTGCTGCTGCAATCTGAACTCACGTGCGACAGCAGGTGGAACGTAGCTCACGTGCAAACAGCTCAACTAATAAGAGAAAACGGACGTCATATCGTAATCAAATCGTCATAGCGCCAGGATGCATATTGTGACATTTTTGCATCGCAATAAATCGTACAACGATAAATTGTTACACCCCTACGCACAATACATGAAAATGATCAGAATATTGGAACAATTCCAACCATTATAAAAGAAGCTGTGGATTGTGAGCCACAACATGTACTATTTTTATTTGTTGAAATTGATCTATTACATGCATAGTATTGTGGTGCATGCATAGTATGTTGTAGCAAGGATGTAAACAAGTATTTTAAAGTGCTGTTTGGCACCTTTAACAATTTAGCTACAAATTAATTTTTAGTTTAAACACACACACTCTTCCCCAGTAGTGCAATTATAATCTCTATGCTGCTGCTTTTTGTGCTTTCTACAACTCAATTAAAAAATACATAAAATGATCAAAATATCGCAAATGTGGATATCATAATGATTTGCAATGATAGAGTTAGAAGTATTTTTGTGTGCCAGTCATTAGGACACTTTCTGAAAGACTTTTTAACACATCAGGCAATGTAGTTACATGTCAATGTGCTTCCCTGAAACCAAGCAGAGTGGACATGCTGATTTTCTAGTCCAAAAATATGGACGGCTGTAGTGTGGATGCTAAAAATGTGAGCAATCAAACCATATTCAGAAAGCAATAAGACAGCAAAGAAGTAATGCTACTTTTT